CGTTATGTTATATTACAAGACCTAGAATGCTTTTCTCCTAATTCTATGGATAATGTACACACTTAGTTGTTCCAGTATCTTAGATATCATCAAGTATTTTAAATCCAGATTTAAGAGGTGATTTCTTATACTTCTGCTTTTCTCAAAAGCCATAAAGAAAGACCAAAGTCCAAAATTTTTCTAGAAAGTTCTCATTATAGGAAAGGTTAGGGGATAGAATCTCCAGGTAGCATTTTGTTCTTCTCTTTTGTAATTTCTTTCTTCTATCTTACAGTTATGAAGTTGTGTTTACTCCATGTAGTTTAAATTTTTACCAGTTTATGCCTGTGCCTTTTATTAGCCACCTTCTTACTGAATGGAAACTGTACATCTGCCTAGTACATTTACAGTCAATAATGTTAGTTCCCAAGAGGTCATTTCAATTCATGACTTCTTAAGATTCTGTGTATTAAGATGGTCTTGGTCTGTGCAATTTTCTAAAGAAGGGATAAATCTACTAGTTTAACAGCAGGACCATACAACTAACTACTTCATAGAATAAAACAGAATGACCCTAGATATCATATTGTGATACTAAAAAAAGAATGGTTGTATTAATAGAATGTCAATAATATCTGAAATATTTCATATTGGGGAGATTTTAGCATACAGAGGGGGAAATGAGCACCAATAGTCTATGGGCTTTATGAGGAGGAATCTACTTTTTTTTTTTTTTAATAGTTCCATTGGCTTGAATTTTAGTAGTGTTAACACTTTTTTCACCCTTTCAAATGTGATGTTAATTATCCTTGATGTTTTATACTATCTTCTGGATGAAATTCAGAAAAGATAAATCTGTCTGTTTAGAAAACCAGATTGGGCTTGTGCTTTTTGTTTTAATTGGAATAGGACAAAAAGCCTCTTCCATTTCTCTCCTGACACAGAACACCCTTAGGTAAAGGCACAGATCCAAAAGTCAGCAGTAATCTATTCAGTGAGGATGCTGGTTTAACCCAACGTCCAAGCAGTATCCAGTGAATTGGTCACGACATTAAGAATAATATGTTTATTTTTTTCTTATATAAAGAAGAGAAAAATGTGGCTATTTTAGCCAGGCTTAAATGGGAAATGTATTCATCATATTTCTTAATGAAGACACAGTAGTATAAGATTATTACAACACACTACAGCAAATCACCAGGGACCTAGACCTCATCCCTGAGAGATAAAGGCCTTATTTAAGGAAACCAGTGCCTGCTTAGGTCAAATGGCACCATAATGAAATTTGGAATACATTCCAAAGATGTTTAAATTGTCATGAGAACAAAAGGATGACTACCCAACTTCATAGGCAGATCCAAAGTTTCCCATTTGCTATGTTTGAAGAGCCAGTCTGCTAATTTCCTAAAACCATGGACTAGTTCATTACCAGAAAAATGCTAAGGCTTGTTTTGTAATCTTTAGTACAGGTCAAGATAATTTAGTACTTGGATTATTTGGCTTCTCAGCCCTTTCTTCAGGAAAAGACCATAGTCTTTCAATTATATGTAAGCTAAAAGGTGATAAAGGAAAATGTATTGGTTGTTTTTTCCCTTATAATAGTTGCTACCCTGGTAGTGTACAAAAGAAAGAAAACCTGAAATTTTGGAGCATAGCTACAACAGAAAAGTAGACATGAAAATCCAAAACACTTTAGTAAAATATTATACAGCAAGTCTTATAAAAAGCTTTAATTCTTAGCCTTGAGGATCCATCCTTCCATGTTATTTTTCTTATAAATGCACATGGCACCTATCACAGCATGCATAAGCACAAGAACTCTTAATAACCAAAAATCTAAAAGAATACACTCTAAAGGAAGCACTTATTAAACTAGAAAATGAGCCTAAAGGGAGTGTAAGTCAGAGAATAATCATGTGAAAAACAAGAATTAGTAAAAGTACAAAACCTACTTAGTCCAGAAAGAAAACACTTTTCCAAGCAAGGTCACAACACTGTCCTTCCTTTCCACTTCTTAAATGCAAACACTATGCCCAGAAGGACTACTGCTTGTTACGGTTAAGACTATTGGCCCAATTCCAACCCCCTCCTGCACCAGCTTCTCTTTCGTGAAAACTTCAGTAATAAGTTTCATCCATTTAGAATTCAAAACAGAATAAATAGCTCAAAAAATACTGTTTGACTGTCTTATTTACATGCAAATAATATAAAAAAAACTTATGTTAGATTTAGTTTTAAATAATATGACAAACAGTTACAGGCAAATAAGGGTCTTATCTAAGGAAAAACAAAACATCCTCATCTCAGTAAACTTTCAAATTCTGTGATCCACAGTAAATGGATCAAAATCTGTCATCGTCACAGAATATAGCATCAGATAGAATTATTGCAAAATAAAATACCTTAGGACCTACCTCTTCTGCCTGAAAAGGATTGTTTATAATATATTATATATATTATTTATAATTTACGAGTAAAGACTTTAACACAACTACTAGCATTAAAGAAAACTTGGACCTAGTCTGCTGAGTTTGTTATCTCCTCAAATTAAGGACTTCCCACTATTTCTGAATCATTCAGCTAACTTTCCACAAAAAGGCAAAATGGTGGTATGTTTCAGTTGTTAGAAAAGGTGTATCAATAAAGGATGTTATTAATCTTAAATGCTTCCAAGTAGGAAAGACAAACATCTACTTAAAATAATTATTTTAAAATGGTTGCCATGATTTTTCTCATTTGCATGTATGTAAAATAAACATTTTTATCTTCTTTCCTTTTAAGAAACTGTTATTCTTCACTTATTATATTTGTGCTGCCTCTAACACTGCATTTTAAAAACTGTTCTTTAGCATATTTGTTTTTCGTATTTTTTGACGAGTTAGAATTTGTATCAACACAGACGAAATCCATTCATTTATCAGGATCCAATCAAGCTAAGGATTTCTGCATAGCAATTATTTTGAACATTTCTAATTTATGAAAGGCTCTAACTGTTATAAACAAATAGACTCCCCGGGTTAGAGTAAGTAATTATCAGGCAAGGAATATAACTGAGTCTAAATAAGTCCCCAAGTTGCTTAAGTATGACACCTAAAGAAATCAGACCAGTTACGGCTTACTGCTACTCTACCTTAGAATTAAGGGGCACAATAATGCAGTTTTAAGAAAGAAAGGGAAGCTTTCCATTTCCTTTAGGCCAATAATGTCTTAAAATAAACCTCAACAGTTTGCATTCATCACTACAGGATTAAAAAATAAAAGGATGTAGTATAAATTAAATTACATAGTGGAACAATAAAAACAACCCAATTAAAATGACAGTGGATTCTTACATAAGCCTGTCTTCCAAACTGGACGTTTTCTCTTATGTTTAATAGAGTTGTCTGACTTTACATAAATATGTTTTAGAAGTATATATTGAAATACTCAAAAATTTCTCATAAAAACACCACACAATGTAATTGAAAAACATGCACACTTAGCTTTTGCTAATACACAAATCACAGGCCAAAAGGAGAGTTTTCTAATATAATAAACTCTGAGATACAGCAATTATCTGTTGGTATCTAATGTTAGTATTACTAATATTCACCAATAGGATAAACATACAGCTATTCATGAATTTGAATATATCATTTAGAGAGGAGAGCAAAGCGAGTTTAGTTTCTAATTTAGAAATGCATGTATATAAAGAGGAATCAAACAGCATAGTATACCCTGATAAAAAGTCCACATGCCTCAATCAAATTATTCAACCAAACTCAACATCACGCTATAAAACAAATTCTGCTGATTTTAAATAGTCCACTTATAGCAGGCCCTAAAGAATAAACTCATCCTTTTGAAGGTCCTAAAACATTGAATCTCAAGCTCTTTGGCTAAAGAATGTGATTAAGTTAAGCAGGAGGCCCTTTTCTGCTTATAGTTAAAGAAATATATAAACCTATCTCCCAGGAATACAACCAAAAAACCCAGTAACTTCTTTGATTTTAATTAAAACTTAAGCCAGGATTTCTGCTGGTTAGTATTTCACCAAGCAGGCGACCTAAACACCCCACTCCTGTTCTCCTGATTTGTGGTAGATGACGCTCTTAACATCTCATCAAAGAAAGAAAAAAAAAAACTGAAATGAAGGGAGGGAAATTAATATGTCTTTAAGATAAAACAGACAGAACACAAATTTCTAAATAAATAAATAAATAAATAAAGCAAGCAAATGTGTTGGTGGTAGCAGCACCCTTCAGCAAAAGTACTCACGCAGAATCTACTGGCCAGAAGTTGATCAGAGTAACAGGACTGCAAAACAAAAAATGAGGTGATGAAGAGAGACACAGGAAAACTCAGCCGCCAAAAAATTACTGAAAGATCAAAGTAAATAAAATCCAACCAATTCAGTATGAGCCATGGAAAGCAACAGCCAAACAAAGGTGGAAAGTGAGTTAAAAGAAAAACAAACGGTTGTGTGATTGCCATTCCCCGAAAACCAAACCCAGTGCTGTCCAGTCAATTCTAACTCCTAAGGACCCTAAAGGACAGAATCGAACTGTCCCATAGGGTTTGCAAGGCTGTACACCTTCATGGAAACAGACTGTCTCATCTTTCTCCCACGGAGTGGTTGGTGGGTTGGAACTGCCAACCTGTCTTTCAGTTAGCAGCCAAGTGCTTTAACCACTGCCCACCAAGACTTCTTCTCTGATTGCCATTAGAGTTACTGAAAAAGGAGAGAGAAGCTTTAAAGGAAGTGAAGGAAGACATGATCAGTTTGACCATGAGAATCAACATGACTTACCAGGAAATAATTTCCTGTGACTGTATTTTCTTTCAAGTATTTTTTAAAAAAAGTAAGTAGATGTAACCACACAACCAGATACAAAAAGACACCTATCTACTGATTTATGACGTAGACAAATCAAAATGAAATCTCAAAATCATTCATTTGTAAACTGTCCCATACTTTTTAAAAGCCTTGTAAGGCCATTAGTATCTGTGACGTTGTGTGTGTGGGGGGGGTGTGTTTCCCCTGTGAAATGAAGTTTAACTTTTGGAAAAGCTAATTTTCAAGAGGCATGGAGAAATGGCAACTGGCTATCAGCTTGTTTTTCTCTTTTAGCTAAAGTAAATCAAAAGAAAGAAATAAAAGAGATTGTTTGCATTTGGAGTGAAGAGGAGTACTCAGCGGAGAGGAGTTCAAATATATGTCACATGAAGAATCTTCATGCTTTTGCTACTACTCACGTTTCCATGTTGTCCCCCTCTAAGACAGTCTGCACTGGCAGGTAGCCCATTCGGGGATGCTTCGCAAAATACCTTTTGGTTCGAAATTTGTTTTTTAGTACCTTGGCAAAGTCACGAACATCTTCTCCTGATGTAGTCTGGAAGGGAAATGTCAGGACCATCAGGTTTAAGAGAGTACAGTTATGAGGCAAATGACCACTACAGTGTCCTGCCTTTGTTTTATAATTAGGGATAGTGTGAGGGTTGAGAGCAAAGCTTTGGCTTCAGATAAACCGGACTTTGAAACCAGGACTGGAAATTTCCTAGTGGGGTTAATTTGAGCACATTATTTACCTCTCCAAGATTCAGATCCTCTGTAAAATGGAAGTAAAAACAGCTCAGCAAGTTGTTATGATGACTAAATAATATAACCAAGCGACTAGACTGCTCATTAGATGGTAGCATACAAAAGTGTTAAAGTTGAAAAGTTGGCCATAAGTTTTGCCACATTTTATGGTATTTTAAAAGCTATTTTGCCCCCCGTTAGGTTGGCAGTTTGTATTTATCCAGAGGTGCCTCAAAAGAAGGCCTGGGAGTCTGTGTCAGAAAGATTGATGCTATTAGGTGCCAAGGAGTCAGTTCTGACTCATGGCTACCCCATGGGACAGAATGGAAGTGCCCCATAGGGTTTTTTAGGCTGTAATCTTTACGGGAGCAGATTGCCAAATCTTTCTCCTACAAAGTTGCTAGGTGGGTTTGAACCACGAACCACTCAGTTAGCAACTGAGCACTTAAATTGTTGCACCACCTTACAATCATTGAAAACCCTATGGAACACACTTCTAATGTGAAACACACATAGTCGTCATGAGTTAGAATTGAATAGCAACTCATTTTTTTTAAAGCCTACATTAATATCATGGTTCACTGATTAAGTATCATTCTAGTCATAGCATGATACATACCCCATTAATGACTACCTTTGTGAAAGAAATCAAAGGGAGAGAGGCAATTAAATAATTGGGATTATCATTCTGATGTTGGATGTGCTAACACAGGGCTTCTCAAACTTTGATGTTCATGAGAACCACCTGCTGAAAGATAGGTTTGGATTTAGAAAGTCAAGGGCTGGGGCCTGAGATTCTGCATTTCTAATCAACTCCCAGGCAATGCCAATGCCGTTGGTCAACAGATCATAGTTTGAATAGCAGCTTTGTAGGGTTTAGAGAACAGAAGATTCACACCTGGGTCTGTCAGTCCACAAAGTCTATACCCTTTCCATTCCCCCTGTGATTTTTCAAAGTTCTATTTTAGCCACTAAATATTTTCCTAAAGTAACTTCTTAGGAGAGTGTTCCACCTCTTAATTAGAGAATCTAGAGCAAATTACTCAACCTCAAGGCCTCAGAGTCCTCATCTGTGAAAAAGCGATAAAAATAGTAATACCTATTTCTTACAGGGTAGGAAAAAGTAAACATCTAGCAATTAGCTGATGTTACTATATATACTAATTCAAAAGTGTTAGTTGTTAGTCTATAAAACAGATGAAAGGTGAGTGACACTCACTTACAGTGGTGGATTATGAATTTTGGGGAACCCACATACTCCACTATACCCAGTATGCCCCATAGCCATAAGACCTCTTCACACAACTTCTAGGGTTCTGGAAAATACCTATGAAAATGTATGCCCTACAACTACACCAATAAAAAGAAAATCTATTTACTTATTCAACAATATTTCTTGAGTGTCTAGAATGTTCTCTGTGTGCCAGATACTGCTCAAGGCCCCAGTGATAGGGTTAATCCTGGAGCTCACAGTTTGGAGCCACTTTAGCTGGGGAATATTTGGAAGACCATGTGAGGAACTCATCAATCATGGCATTGCACACGATTGCAATACTGTACAAAAACTGAAGGTTATCTCATGCTCGGGGGGATCCAACTTACCGGAGTGCAGTATTCCACCATGGGATAGTGCATTTTATGGCCTTTTGCAACTCGACCAGAAAAAAAGCAGCTTTGGCAGATGTCATAATTAAAATGCTTTAGACTCCTGTACCTGGTGAAGAATAAAAACAAACACATATGTATTTCTTCAAATTAAATTCCCAAAGAACATTCTTAATAAACTTTCTTCCACACTGTCTTAATTCTAGAAACAGAATGCAACATTCATTAGTTCCACAAGGTAAGTGAATTAACTACTTAACTCCAGATATCTCTGGTACCTACCCTACAGTATAAAAACATTTTGACAGAAAGATTATCCTATGAACATATGGATGGAGGGGAGAAAAACCTCAGTTTTTATTTAAACTCCACTAGGAACTCTTTCAGATTAAGTAGAGAAGTACTGGCAAACCTCCAGTCCAGACCAAGTGCTAGAATTTGATTCAACTTCCAAGAGAGAGAGACTGATACATTGCCTGCCTCCTTACCCATTTTCTGAAGCAATTATTTTGAAAAAAAAAATTATAAAAGTAAAGCAATTGCCCAAGACAAAAGAAAATTAAACAAGAATTCTCAAGTAACACAAGGCTTGCTTTAATTTCATTTTCTGGCTGACTGACATGATTCATCTTCAAATAGTTACTTGGACAGTCTCTTTTATCTCTCTCTTTAGAAATTCCTCTCCATATTACTCATAAATGATAACTGAAGCCTCAATAAAAAATAAAATGTGGATTAGATGAAAGAGTTTATAATCTCTAAACACAAAATCAAAAACCAAACACTGCCATCGAGTCGAGTCTGACTCGTACTGACCCCCATTGGGTATCCAAGGCTATGTCTTTACAGAAGCAGACTGCCTCATCTTTCTTCCATGGAGCAGCTGGTGGGTTCAAACCACTGACCTTTTTGGTTAGCATCCAAATGCCTTATCCACGACACCAGAAGAGCTCCTGTAAGTACTACTTGGTACTTTCCCCCCATTCTCAGAATACTGTATTCTTTGCTTCATACTTCCCCCTGCCTTTTGCTTTTGCAGATAAGAAGCTTAGCCAATTCAAATAAACATACTCCTTATGTCTCATGTGGGAATCTAAACCATCTTTTGGGATGGGGGTGGGGGTTGGAAAGAGAAGTGCTGATTCCTAAAATAATCAAATGTGATAAGGGCAGAAGAACTGAAAGTGACAATGCTCTTTCAGCTCCTCCAAAGCCTGCTCCTTCTTTTTTATTTTATACATTCTTCCCCTACATGCAAATCTCACTAGCTAAGGAAGCTGAGAATATAAAAGTAAGAAATGTAGTGCAGGCCCCTGAGGCTTCCCCTCTTGGACTCCCATGGTATCATCCTTACCAGCTACAAGCCAGTGTGGAAAGAAGATATCCTTTGTAAGCTCTGCCTACTAAGTGTTGTCTATCGAGGCTTTAGAAGAGCTAAAGGTTTTTGTAAAACTTCTTTGTAAACAACATGAAGTGTGGAAGAATAAACACCAATGGTAAAAGAGCTCCATGAATAAAAAGCACACAAATGGTACAGAGTAGTTATTAAGAAAGAAAGTAATAAGACAAGTCTAAGCAAAACTAGAAAAGACTATTTATTTAGCTGCTAAGTGGATTCGGAAGGGGCATAAACTATATAGCTAGTTTACAACTCTGTGGCTTAGTCATCACTGTGGAAACCTTGATGTTGAGCCAGATGTTTCAATACATCATCCTTTTCAGAAAGTAGGATTTAAGATTACTGTTAAATAAGATTAATCCATTCAAAAATATCCTCCTCCCCAAAGAGGTCAACAAGGCTGAAGGTTTAAGAGGCAATTGTTTTCCATGACATTTAAAGAATATCATAATAATAACCTGCTATGTTTCCTATCTCTTTCACTTTTAAATTTATAGGGAACATTTTTTTTAGCTGCTTTGTGAATCGTTCATTTACTTGCATGCTTTATATTCCCTTAGAAGTTTGTTAGGATACTATACAAAAAGTGTAATCAGATTCACAGATAAAAAGTTAAGTTCTAGGCTGCGTAAAACAATTCTTGCTACATAAGGGGAAATATGGTACAATGTCAGTAACAGACTGAGCTACCATGATGGGTCTCTTAGAACAGAATTGTCTCTTACTTTTATAATTGATTCTTGGAGACTTTCTATAAACAGAAAGGCTATCAAAAAGGAGAAGGGAGGGTAAAATGCTTTGGTTCAAGGAGAAAGGAAGTACAATTAATTTATATCCCCTGACAAATAATCTCTGTGGAGACAGACAGGTAGTCCGGTTCAACCAAAGTATGTGGCTCTGAAGAATGAGGGTAGAAAGGGACACCTCCCTAATGAGTCAGATCCACCAAAATAACCCAGCGACCAGAGGAGTGACAGGTGTGATCGATGCTCCAGCCCGATCACCTTCTCTCCAACATTGGAGAGAAAAAAACTAATAGCAAATGGGACAGGAGAGAGAAAAAAAAATCAAGTCACAAAAAAAGGGGGGAGGAACAAGGAAAAAAAAAAACACCAAAAATCCTGTTTTCGTTCCTAGTACCTGAATCCAATGATTGGACACTCCTTGCAGATGTTGCACTTGGCCTGATGCTTGGCAGTTTCTGCAGCAGCCACTCTGTGCAGGACAGGCAGCCACACCATGGACTGGGGCTCCAGTCTCATCCAGTCAAGGAAGAGGGCTGCTTCGATCTCAGGCTTATTATTGGCCTGCAAGCACAGGAGGGAGAGAGCAGATGAGAAAGGAAAGGAAGCATATGGCAGTTCAGGGAGTAAGTGAAAACATCAAACCAGAAAGAACAGTAGTTGCACAACGAGGCCTGCTTTGCACAGCTGGTTCCCACAAATGTCACCCTAATGTCCACATGAGTCAACTACCCCAAAGGCTTTAGTAAAAGACCATTACTCTTTTTTGCTACTGGATATAGCAATGAAGCAAAACAAATAGAAAAGGCAAAGCAGAATATATACCTAAATGAGACGATATTTAGTTCTAATTTTAAAATAGATTGTAAGTTTCAATAGAATATGTGAGGTAGAAACATTTTAATATTTTACTTACTTGGTTATATTCTATAATGCATGTCTATATACCTCTATATATACATACACATATACTACTTGTATTATTTGTTTAATACATTTAAATGGGAGTGTTTATGGATAAAATTTTGAAGGAAGAAGAAAAACAACTCAAGCCATTGATTTTTTTTTTCCTACAGAAACTATTTTTCAATGTTTCATAGACTCAGAATGAAGGGGCTTTCAAATTCATCTGGTCCCAAAGTTTCCTTTTACAGACAAGAAGACTGAAATACAGAACTGAAAAGTAGTTTTGCAAAGGCTTTTTAACTAACCATCAGCAGAGCTGGTACTACAAAACAAATCTAACCTAGTGCTGTTTTCATGGTGTTTCTATCTGTCTCTTTCATCCTCTCTCTTTGAAAGTCTAAATTGAAAATACTTGTCCTTCCAGACAGTACGGAAGCAGATTGCCACATCTTTCGCCCACAGACTGGCTGGTGGGTTCAAACCTCTGACCTTTCTGTTAGCAGCTGAGTGCATTAACCACTGCAACATCAGAGCTTCTTACAATAATCTTAAAAACCCTAAATATATTTACTCATCACTTGCATTATATACTATTATAGTCATATATTTTAATTCTTTTTTTTTAAAACCCTGTAAGACTGTGTTTTAATTTTTTTTATATTGCTAGATTTACTCACATATTGGCCACTTTTTTTTTTTTTCCTTTTCCTTTGCTTTTCAACATTTCTTGTATCTTAAATCTTCCATCTGGGATCACTTGTCTGCTGCCTGAAGTACATCCTTTAGGATTTCCTTTAGTCAATGTTTGTTGGTGGGAAATTTCTCAGATTTTGTTTGTCTGAAAATGTCTCTTTTATATCCACATTCTTGATGATAAATATTTTCATTAGGATTTTAAATTGACGGGTCTTTTGATTTGTTCACTTTTATTTTGCTTTAGCACACTGACATATTATTCCACTTTTATCTCCCTGTCCCTGTTGTCACTGTTGACAAGTCAGCAATAAAGTGGACTATTGCCTTTTTCCTCTCTTCATCTCTTTGGTTTTCTGTACTTCCTTTTTGTTATGTTTCTAAAGTTTTATTTATACTGTTTAGGATTCACTGGACTTTCTTAACCTGTGATTTACTCTTTAGTCAGTTCGAGAATCTTCTCAGGAACTCTGGTTGCATAGTGCCTAAGGCACTTGACTGCTAACCAGAAGGCTGG